AATCATTAGTATGACTGCATGCAGGGAAATGTGTAGTGCAAAGCAGAACTAATATGTTCTATTCTCTATGCCCCATGTGTAATACATCATTCATATACTGTATGTTTATATGTAGTGTAATGTGCAGTGTGATCCTACAATACAAATCTGCTCTAAGTGTAATAAATAATTATTTATTACACATAAAGCTTACCGGCCAATCAGCATAGAGCTGGCCAAACAGCATGGAGTCGGCTTCCTGGGCAATCAAGAAGCCGGGCGGTTTCAAAAATGAACAGTGTGATTCTACAATAAGACTCTTCTGCTCTATATACAATAAATCATTAATATATGACTGCGTGTAATGTACAGTGTGATCCTACAATAAGACTCTTCTGCTCCATATAAATATATGACTGTGTGTAATGTGCAGTGTGATCCTACAATAAGACTCTTCTGCTCTATATATAATAAATCATTAATATATGACTGTGTGTAATGTGCAGTGTGATCCTACAATAAGACTCTTCTGCTCCATATAAATATATGACTGCGTGTAATGTACAGTGTGATCCTACAATAAGACTCTTCTGCTCTATATACAATAAATTATTAATATTTGACTGCGTGTAATGTACAGTGTGATCCTACAATAAGACTCTTCTGCTCTATATATAATAAATCATTAATATATGACTGCGTGTAATGTACAGTGTGATCCTACAATAAGACTCTTCTGCTCCATATAAATATATGACTGCGTGTAATGTGCAGTGTGATCCTACAATAAGACTCTTCTGTTCTATATACAATAAATTATTAATATTTGACTGCGTGTAATGTACAGTGTGATCCTACAATAAGACTCTTCTGCTCTATATATAATAAATCATTAATATATGACTGCGTGTAATGTGCAGTGTGATCCTACAATAAGACTCTTCTGCTCTATATATAATAAATCATTAATATATGACTGCGTGTAATGTGCAGTGTGATCCTACAATAAGACTCTTCTGCTCTATATATAATTGACTGCGTGTAATGTGCAGTGTGATCCTACAATAAGACTCTTCTGCTCTATATATAATAAATCATTAATATATGACTGCGTGTAATGTGCAGTGTGATCTTACAATAAGACTCTTCTGCTCTATGTAAATATATGACTGAGTGTAATGTGCAGTGTGATCCTACAGTAACATGTACTTCTGCCCTCTATGGCCCATCTGCAGTGAGTCATTAATATATAATTATATAACTGCATGTAGAGTGATGGGCAGTCTAACAACGCAATAAAGAACACTAGCACCCTACACCAAACGTGCAATAAATCATTAATATAATTACAACGACTTTGTGTAGTGTATTGTGTAGAGTAATCCCATACTAATATTCCTCTGCCCTCCATGCCCCCATGTAACTGCATATTGGTTCGATGTGCAGTTTGATTATACAATATACTCCTCTGCCCCTTGCTTCTGTGTAATTATAGTGACTGCATGTAGTATAATGAGAGTGATCCTGCAATAATACCACTCTGCCCTCTATGCCCCATGCTTCTGTGCAGTCATCAATGTAACTATGATGAGTGCATGTGGTGTAACATGCAGTATGATTCTACAATACTATCTGCCCTTTATGCCCTCTGTTCAATGATATATAATTTGTATGACTTCATGTGGTGCAGTGTGACCTGTACACGTCTGCCCTGTGTGTCCCATGAATGATGTTGTACAGTAATTAATATAACCGGTATGTATGTGCAGGATGATGATAATGGCAAAGTGTTCACTTCTGTCCTCTGTGCCCCATGTGCAGTCATTCATGTCATTTATAATGACCACATGCAGTGCTCTGTGATTCCGCAGTAACACTCTTCTGCTCTCTGTGCGCCATGTGCAATGGATGTGTATAATTGGTATGACTGCAAGTACTGTACATTTGCAGTGCTCTTATAATAATACTCTTCTGCCCTCTGTGCCCCATGTGCAATCATTCATAAGATTATAATGACCACATGTAGTGCAGTGTGATCTGTACACGTCTGCCCTGTGTTAATGATCCAGTACAGTAATTATAGAACTGGTATGTATGTATGTGCAGGATAACGGTAACAGCCCAGTGTTAATTTCTGTCCTCCATGGCCCACCTGCATTGACTCTGTGTAGTCATTATTATATCATTATATGACTGCATGTAGTGTAATGGGCAGTCTCCTGCTGTAAAGTACTTTAGTGTTCTATACCACACGTGCAATTTATCATTAATATAATTATAAAGTGTAGTTTATAGAATGATCCTACAATAATACTGTAATGTAGTTATAATGACCACTTGCAGTGTAATCCTGCAGTAATATTCTTCTGCTCTCTGTGCAATGAATGAACATATACACGGATCCGCCATGGCATTAGGCTGCATTCACACCTAAGTGACACCTATTGAGCGCGTTTTAGGCATGTCTTTTTTTGAGCAGTTATTGCGCATTTTTAACATTAGCGTGTGAGCAGCTATTGGCACGTTCATGTGAATAAGCAAAGGCGCATAAAACGCGTGCAAAAATAATCACAACGCGCATTTTCAAATGAGTCTATGGGGACAAAACGCGCTGACATCTACCCCAAAGTAGCTCATGTACTACTTCACTCGACAGGCATTTTTTCTGCTTGCCACAAAACGCAAAGGTGTGAACAGGGGCCATAGAAAAGAATGGGATTCCTGGGGTTAAGCATTTTGACACGCTGAATCAGCTGCGACCATACGCCTAGGTGGGAACGGGGACTTATGACCACTGAGAGGTGAAGTGAATGAGATTGAATATCTTGTTACAATGACACCTGGAAGTGGGTGGTATATATTAGAGAGCAAGTGAACATTTTGTCCCTGAAGTTGGATGTGTTGGAAGCAGAAAACATGGGCAAACGTAAGGATTTGAGTGACTTTGACAAGGGGCAAATTGTGATGGTTAGACGACTGGATCAGAGCAACTCCAAAACTGCAGCTCTTGTGGCATGTTCCCGGACTGCAGTGGTCAGAACAAAACAGAAGTGGTCTAAGGAAGAAAAACCGGTGAACCAGGAACAGGGTCATGGGCGACCAAGGCTCATTGATGCACATTGGGAGCAAAGGCTGACCTGTGTAGTCTGATCCAATAGAAGAGCCACTGTAGTTCAAATTGCTGAAAAAGTTAATGCCGGTTCCGATAGAGAGGTGTCTGAACACACAGTGTATTACAGTTTGTTGTGTATGAGGCTGCATAGCCACAGATTGGTCATGGTGCCGATGCATGTCCACTGCCAAAAGCGCCTACAATGGGCACATGAGCATCAGAGCTGGACAAAAGAGCAATGGAAGAACGTGGCCTGGTCTGATGAATCACATTTTCTTTTGGATGCGGATGGCGGGGTGCGTGTGAGTTGCTTACCTGGGGAAGAGATGGCACCAGGATGCACTATGGGAAGAAGGCAAGCCGGCAGAGGCAGTGTGATGCTTCGGGCAATGTTCTCCCGGGAAGCCTTGGGTCCTGCCATTCATGTGGATGTTGCTTTGACACGTACCACCTACGTAAACAATGTTGCTGACCAAGTACACCCCTTCATGGAAACATTATTGCTTGATGACCGTGGCCTCTTTCAGCAAGATAATGTGCCCTGCCACACTGCAAAAATGGTTCAATAATGGTTTGAGGAACACAAGTTCAAGGTATTGACTTGGCCTCCAAATCTAAATCAAATCAAGCATCTGTGCTGGAAAAACAAGACCGATCCATGGAGGCCCCACCTCACAACGATCTGTTACTGACAGCTTGTTGCCAGATACCACAGCATACCTTCAGAGGTCTAGTGGAGTCCATGCAGTGACGGGTCAGGAAAAGGGGGACGTACTCAATAATAGGTGCGTAGTCATAATGATATGGCTAATTGGTGTATTTAACTGGAATGACTGCATGTAGAGTCATTTACATAGTCATCCTCCCCCTACTCTTCTGCCCCCAGTGCCCCAATATGCAATCATCAGTGTAATACATTATAATGACATCATGTAGTGCAGTGTGATCTGTGCCCTATGTGCCCCATGAATGATCCTGTACAGTAATTCATATAACAGGATGAGGATGATAATGGCTCAGTGTGCCCTTCTGTCCTCTGTGCAGTCAATCATTACTAGAATTACAAAGACCCCATATAGTGTGATAGTACCACATGTGATCTCCTAAACCTCAGTGCAGTAATGTTTCAGAACTATCCCTGGGCTCCCTGCTCCACAAGAAGCATCATACCCATCCCAGTCCCCGCTCCATCTGCAGCATCATACCCATTTTTGTCCCTGCTCCACCTACAGCAGCATGCCAATCCCTGTCCCCGCTCCACCTGCAACATCCTACCCATCTCTGTCCCTGCTCCACCTACAGCAGCATGCCAATCCCTGTCCCCGCTCCACCTGCAACATCCTACCCATCTCTGTCCCTGCTCCACCTACAGCAGCATGTCCATCCCTGTCCCTGCTCCACCTGCAGCAGCATGTCCATCCTTGTCCCCGATCCACCAGCAACAGCATCATACCCATCCCTGTCCCCGCTCCACCTACAGCAGCATGCCAATCCCTGTCCCCGCTCCACCTGCAGCAGCATGTCCATCCTTGTTCCCGCTCCACCTGCAGCAGCATCATGTCCATCCCTGTCCCCACTCCACCTGCAGCAGAATGCCTATCCCTTTTAACCTGCATCATCATGCCCATCCTTGTCTCCATTCCACCTGCAGCCCAATGCCCATGCTTCTTCACCTGCAGCCTCACGCCCATCCCTGTCCCTGCTTCACCTGAAGCCTCATGCCCATCCTTCTCAACCTGCATCATCATGCCTATCCCTGTCCCCGCTACCCCTGCAGCATCATGCCTATCCTCCTCCACCTGCACCCTTGTGATGTAGAGAGTCCAGTGCAGTGGGAGAGGGGGGGTTGGTTCCACCCAGGCAGGCGTCACATGGAGGTTTCGTGCAGCCAATGTGGTCGGTGCTAGGGCCCGGGGAGCTTCGCGCTGGCTCGGTGTACCGGCTTTGCTGCAATATAAATAGTAGTGTAAAATGCAGAGCACATTCTTTACCGCTCCCCGTCCGCCGAGTGCACACCGTCCGCACTGCCCCGCACCCTCTCCATACCCCACCGCTGGCCATTTGCATGCATTTTCTGCCTCCAAAGATGGTTTGTGAGACGGGCATCCTGGCAGACGATCCCAGCTCCATAGCGGCACCCCAAAAGGACCCCCTGATGGTCTCCCCGGCTCAGATGTGGCCCCCATTGCCCGGCACCCCGCTGGCGCCCCCCAGCTCCGGGGCCGAGGAGGGCATCAAGGAGCAGCTGTATATTCGCGAATTCCGAGCCTCGGACCAGGAGGTGGCCAGGAGGATATTCTACGAAGGGATTAGAGAAAGGATCCCCAGCTCGGCGTTCAGGGGGTTAAAGTACCAGCCGGTCCTCCAGTGCGTCTATGCGGTGCTGACAAGTAAGTAAGAGGGGTGGGGGGGGTGATGATGCCAAGGATGGCTATGACGGCTCTGATGATGACCCATTCCTACGTTAATTCATTCATTGCACTTCTGCCGACTGCAGCACAGGTCTCCCTATCACTGCATGGGACTCATCGCTGCCAGTGTGCCATGGCAGGGGTCATGTGACTGCAGGATGATCAATGCCTAAACTATATAGGATGTGATGGCTGTGCCACCTGTCACTCAGGGAATGGTACCCTCCGTCACCGTCCGCACACAAGTGACAAGCACCGCTGTGTCACATGCTCACCGGATGCCACCGGCTCCGTGACTCAGGACCGCTGCGTTAGCACGGCCACACACACTGCAGTCTTTTTTCTTTTTTTCATCTCACTATTTATCAATTGCATGAAGAGGTGTAAAGAAAAGAAAAAGGGTAAGATTGCGCCATACGCCTGCAGATGTTAATTGCATCGGTCAAACAATGACCCAACTTCCCCTTTAAATTGGCATGACCCGGGTTGTATCTCAATTGCTTGCGTACGCATTGAGATTTCGGCACAATCCGACCGAAATTGTACAACCTGATCGCAGCCGGCGTGCCGCCAACTTTTCCGCTTACTGGTAACGTTGAACAAAGAGCAAAGTGCCATCACCCTCAGGAGCTGGTGAGGAAAAAGGAAGGATGCTGGCGGTGATGGAAAATCATCACCCGTGTTCTAGCATGACCATGTCACGGGGGGTGTCAGACTGTAACATGCACTGATTGCAGTAGCAGAAGCTCCCAATATTTTGTATCTTTTCCCCGGTTTATTGTATCCGGAATACTGAGAATGAGCATCAAGGTATCGGATTGCCTGAGAGTGGGTATGAACCAGTTTCATCCAGTCTGCGCTCAGCTACGGGGCTGCTGCAATGAATGAGGCGTCCCATTGGGTTCGCTGGAAAGTTTTGCTGGGTTAATCATACACTCTGACTATACCGGCAGTACTTGACACATATGTAGAGATAAGCCGGTGTACCTCTTGTGGTGCAGTACTGTATCACACACAGCCCTCCGATACGAGAGCTCGGAGCAATGCTGCAGTACGGCTGGGCTGAGCTCCTTTACATGGAGTCTTCGAGCACATCGTTTGTTGGATAAGGAAAAGTTTAAAGCAATTAGAAGATTTTTGGGGACTTATTCAGCGGACTTCTCTTTACTTCTAGTTAATCGAAACCAGCATTGGTGGTGATTGGGAAGAATGCCACCTTTACATTGGTGGTGATTGGGAAGAATGCCCCCCTCTTACATTGGTGGTGATTGGGAAGAATGCCACCCTCTTACATTGGTGGTGATTGGGAAGAATGCCCCCCTCTTACATTGGTGGTGATTGGGAAGAATGCCACCCTCTTACATTGGTGGTGATTGGGAAGAATGCCACCTTTACATTGGTGGTGATTGGGAAGAATGCCACCTTTATTTTGGTAGTCAGTGGGAAGAATGCCACCTTTACATTGGTAGTCAATGGAAAGAATGCCACTTTTATTTTGGTGGTCAGAATGCCCCTTTTACATTAATCAATAGGAAGAATGCCACCCTTTGTCAGTCAGTGGGAAGAATGCCACCTTTACATTGGTGATCAATGGGAAGAATGCTTCCCTTACAGTGGTGGTCAGTGGGAAAAATGCCACCTTTACATTGGTGGTCAGAATGCCCCTTTTACATTGATCAATAGGAAGAATGCCACGTGTACATTGTCGGTCAGCGGGAAGAATGCCACCCTTACATTAGTGGCATCTGGGAATAATGCCACCTTTACATTGGTGGTCAGAATGCCTCTTTTGCATTGGTAATCAATAGGAAGAATGCCATCCATACATTGATGGTCAGTGAAAAGAATGCACCCTTTGCACTTGTGATCAGTAGGAAGAATGCCACCTTTACATTAGTGGTCGGAATGCCCCTCTTACATTGGTGATCAATAAGAAGACTGCCCCCCCCCCCCCTACAGTGGTGATCAATGGAAGGAATGCCCTCCTTACATTGGTGGTCAAAATGTCCCTCTTACAGACACCTCAAAAAGATAATTGGTGTCATGCCACTGGCTCTGCCAAGTGGCTTTGGCCCCAGAATTATACTGTACCAGGACATGGGAGGTCAATCAGCCTAGCGACCTCTGAAGGAACCCTTTATGACAATGGTTGGTCAAACTGATAAAATAGCATTTTTTTTGCTGTGGGTGACTGCACTTTCCTCTTTATATTAGCATAGGGGTAAGTTCAGGGATTCTCGGGGACTGTAGTGGGGCTCAGGAATAGGTAAGGCTGGCTGGTGCTCCTTTCAGCTCCATGTTCCAAGCCAGCTGGTCAGTTTGCAGATTGGGTAAGCTAGTGCTCTCTTTCCAGCAGGGTATGCTGGGAATTAGAGGTTAGCCTGAGCTGGAAGGCACCAGGATGGAGCTACCTGATTGGCCATGATCCTTTATTCTTATTTCTCTCGCAGTTCATTGACTAGCCATTCTCAACCATGGAACCTTCGGGTTCCTCTAGAGGTTGCTTGGGGTTCCTTTGAGTTGTGGCTGATTGACTTCCCAACTGATGGTTTCTGCATAGTTTAGGGTCCAACGCCACTTGGCAGACCTGGCCTGAATATGATTTCAAGGGTTCCTCTGGGGTAGCAAAGGTTGAGAAAGGCTGCAGTAGACTATTAGGCTTACGTACTAGAGGACTTCAAAGTGCAATTAAAGGAGAACTATGGGGTTAAAGGAGAACTATGGGGTCAGTGTTTTTCCCCATAGTTCTCCTTAGGGTAACGGGAGGACACAAACTAGCGTCCTCCCGTTACCCTAAGCTCAGTATACCACGAGCTACAGCTCGCGGTATACTGAGACGCCGCAGCCGGAGCGGATCCCGACGTAGATGACGGGATCCGCCCAGCTGTGTGAGTGACAGCTGGCTCTGCCTATCTAGAGGCAGAGCCAGCTGTCCCCTCCCCTGTCCGATCCACCAGTCAGCGCTGGCGGATCGGAGGGGGGAGGTGAGCGAACACAGAGAGCCGTGACAGGATCAAGAGCTGATCGAACGCCGGTATGTGTTCGCTCACCTCCCGATCTACTAAACCGACCTGTGACAGTCTCATTGTCACAGGTCGGCTAGAACTATGAGGTGAGTGAAAAGCACTCACCTCATAGTTCTCCTTTAAAGTGCCATAGATAATATTGACCAGTCATGTTTCAGTGTAGTGCACTTCAAGACTTCAATTCTGACTGGTTATTACTGTTCACTGCAGTTTGCACATCTACATTGCCCTTTGCATTGCTGTTCTGACTAAACCCGGGTGAACTCGGGAATATGGTGGTGCCAGGGGGTGTGCCCTGGAAGTTTCTGGTAGTCCTATGGACTTCATAGCGTGCACACAGCTTGGCACTTTCCTGCCGTCCACTCTTGCTATGTTCTAGCGTCTTCCTATAGGAAAATGGTTGCTGAGGGTACAGAGGACATGCCGGCATGTTCTGCAGTGTTGCAGCAGCCGGGAGGACACTTTGCACTGCAGTACGTTGCAGAGCGATCGAGGTTTTCCCTGTATTGCAGCAGTCAGGAAATCCAGTTATCTGGGTGTGATATTAAGCCTTGTGCAGCAGATGCAGTCTTTAGCCTGAGCAATGTGATAGCGAAGCAGCGCGGAGGGTCGAGTCAGCGAGCCCCATCTCCTGAAACAGTTACCTAGTTACAGAATGGAATGTAGGCCAATGAGACAACAAGCCTGCTGGGGCCCCGCCCCTTCTCCCCACCCTTAGTGCTGTAATACAATGCAGATGCACAAAAGCAGCATCCTTCGCACCTCCGCAGATACCACACATGTGACTCTCAATTAGAGGAATCATGCACTTCTCTTGCCCTTCCTCTTCAACGATCCGCTGGCCTTCATTACAGCGAACGAACGGTTTTAGGAACTTGTAGATCTTATAGACGTAATAAAAAGTCTTAAACAGAAGCATGCCAGCTAATTTGTTGAGTCAGGGCATCAGTAAAGAGCTGTATTCCTTGGCAGCCAATCAGATTTTAGCTTAATGTTAAATGCTAAAATGTATTTAGTTGTCATGAGACAAAACACTTTGCATATTGAGTGATAGCTGAATATCTTTTATTTCTGGGTGATGCTACCAAAGTTTAAAGCGGCACAAACACCAAAAGCAGCTGCCAATTGTTAGATGCGGTGGTTGCATTTATTTTCTTTCTTTGTCTTTTTTTCCTCTCTTTTCCTTATTTTCACCTGGTGATCCGACTAGTAGGTCTGTTATTTTTTTAACTTCCTTTTAATAGGTCAAGTGATCCAGCTAAAGTGGCAGATAGAAGACAAACTGTATATCACTGACAGGAGTGCTTACTAGGGATGTACCGTTACTGTTTTTTCGGTTACGAGTACTGATATTTATCTTTCGGCACTCGCTAATAACGGTACTTTCGGAAGTCATTAGCCCCGCCCGGGTTCCTGATTGCCCAGAAAGGCGGCTGCATACTGTTTGGCCAGCTCAGTGCTGATTGGCCGGGAAGCCGGATCCATGCAGTTTGGCCGGCTCAATGCCAATTGACCGAGAAGCCAAACACCATGGAGGCAGCTTCTCGGCCAATCAGGAGGCCCCCGGCCCGGCTGCCTGATTGGCTGGGAAGCTGGCTCCATGTTCCCTCGTGGCACTGCCGAACAGAGGAAGTCTCCCTCTGAGCAGAAGTTCTGGTATCAGGGGTAAGTATTGGAGCATTTGGGCGAGTACAAGTACTCGCCCAAATAGTCAGTATTGGCACCGGTACCAATCAGTATCGGTGCATCCCTACTAACAACACACCCTAAAACAAGCCTGATTGGCCAGGAAGCTGGCTCGATGCTGATTGGAAGGGAAACCGGCTTCCTAGCCATTCACAATCAAGCCGGCCAAACAACATGGAGTCGGCTTCCCTGGCAGTCAGGAAGCCGGGTAGCATCTCATTACCCGCTGCCCGGCTTCCTGATTGCCCGGGAAGCCGGCTCCATGCA